GATCTAGGACATTTAATAGCCAAAAGTCAAATCAAACCATAAATGAGGATTAAAAACTAGGGATTCCCTATTTCATCCTACTCTAGGCCCAGTTCTGACACTTCAGAGATACTGACTTTTATGCTGCTAGTACCCCCTCACCCAGATGTTTCTGTTTCTACTGGTTGCTCACACAGTTTTTTTCAGATTTTCTATTTTAGGCATTGTGTATTGTGTTTAGCAATGGAAGGTGAAGATGTAGTCCTTCTTCCACTCTTTCCCCCACTCCATCACATCTTCTTCCTTAATCTTCTCTCAAGATAGTACTTGCATGTTAGTGTTGGTTAAATAGTTTGTGCTCATTCTATTATAACTATGTAAACATTTACAGCTAAGCCATGCAGTATGTAAGTTTTCTCTTGTGTAGGTTTTTTTTTTTTTTTGTTTGTTTGTTTGTTTTTTGCTGCTGTTTTTCTGGGAATTAATGATTGAATAGTCCTGATGCCTTTTTTCTGCATTATAGTCTCTTTTTCCTGGATCCCATGTTTCATCTCTTCTGTTTTTCTCTTGTATTAGTCTTCAAAAGTTTCTTGAGATGCGCTGCATAAAATGTTCACTTTTTGGGAGTTTAGATATCTGATAATGTTTTTATTCTTTCTTCATACTTGAGTGAGAGCTTTTCCGGAAAGTAATTCCATTTCAGAATTTGAAGGTATAAGGTTTCTTTGTGTTACAGATTTTGGGATTGATGTTCAAGAAAGTCTGATGCCATTCTGATTCCTAACCCTTTGTATAAAGCCTGCATTGTATTTTATTGAAAGCTTTTGGTGTTGTCCTTTATGACTGTGTTCTTTTTTTTTGTTTTTTGTTTTTTTGTTTTTGTCTTTTTGAGGCAGGGTCTCACTGTGCAGTTCAGGCTGGCCTTGAGCTCACTTTGTAGCACAGGCTGGTCTCTAATTTGCAATGATCCTTGTACCTCAGCCTCCAGAGTGCTGGGATTACAGGTGTGTGCCACCATGCCCAGTTTAAGCTGGTGTTCTTAAAGAGTCAAGACAGATATTTTTGTCCCCTCATTGTCCTGAGCAATGGGTATGGTTTTTCAATATGGGAGCTCATCCCTTTTGTTTTGGAAAATTTTGTTTCTATTTTTTAGATTTTATTACTATTTTTTTCCACTCTATTTTTCTTATTTTCCCTCCCTGGAACTCATATTTGGCAAGTATTAGACTTTTAATTCAGTCCCCTCATTTTCTTTTATTTTTTATCTTCGTGTGTGTGTGTGTGTGTGTGTGTGTGTGTGTTTGTGTGTGTATGTGTATCTGTGTGTGTTTTCCTCCTTTATGGAGAATTCATCATTGATGTCCACTAAACTTTGTTTGATTTTTAAAAATTCTTATCATGTAAAATTTTTTTCTAAGAGTTGTTTTTCATTTTCTGAACTTTTTATAGTTAACCTATCTTGTTTCATTGATGTAATAATTTATCTTACTTTTCCTCAGCATATGAATGATAAGATTTTAAAAATTCTGATTCCAAGTTGGGCTCAGTAGTGCATGCCTGTAATCTTAGCAGCGAGAGGGGCTTAGGTAGGAGGTTTACAAGTTTGAGTCTAGCCCGGGTAACTTAGCGAAACTCTGACTCAAAATTAAAAAAAAAAAAAAAAAAAAAAGATGGGGATATAACTCAGTGGTAGAATACCCTTGGGTTTGAGCTCTAGTACAACACACATGCACACTTACACACACACACACGCGAACAGTCATTTCCTGCATGATTTCTGTTCCCCTTTCCACCTCAGTACGTTTTTTGGTATGTGTTTTATTGCTTGTCTTTCCTTGAGTGTGTGGTGATCCTTGGCTAACAATTGATGTGCAAGAGGAAAAGAGATAATTGAGAAGTCATAGCACATTGTAGAGTGTGTCTGTGATGATTGGGCCCCCTAGAACTCTGCGGTGTTTTCGGTGAAAAGTCTAATGTCAGTCCATATCTTTACAAGTCTTTTCACTTGAATCAGGTCATTTCCCTAAGGAGAAAGCCATAATTCTCCTGTGTTTGGGGTATAAGTCAAGGTGCCACTGTTACTTGAATCTAATCATTAAAGGAGGATGAAGGTCCAGAGGGCCTGAAAAGTATATCATTTAATAAACTCCCCTTTCACTTCATCTTTCTATTTCTCTGTAGTGCCTCACACCCTTCCCAAAGTCATACCTGATATTTCTTTTTCAAATTCTTTCTAAATCAGCCTTCTCCAGACTTGACCAATGCGGAGGAGGTGGAACTATGTGTCTGTGTGGGGACCTGTATCTCAAAATACTTCTGCAGAAAGTTTTGGCTCTGTACCTCTGCCTTACTTATATTGGTACAGTCTTTCCAGTGATAGCCTTGCTCCAGGTCAAAGTGTTCAGATTTCTCTGGTTTGCTAACTTATTTACCCACCATTTATTTTGATAGCTTTCAGACTTTGTTGCCATATCTTATTTGCTGTTCCTTCTTCTCTTTTCTTGATATTTTGTACTTAAAAATTCCCTCCTTGCTATTACTTTGTTGGGACTGCAGAAAGGAATAACCATCTTCATCAGATTTTTTCCATGGAGTCTGTGACTCCCTGAAATTAACTATTATTCCACTATTTTTATTTCTCAAAGGACATCACTAAGTCCTCTTACTCAAGACTTTATTTTTTAAACATGGAAGAGTTTCATATAAGTATCATATAGGCCTTATCTTGAAATTATAAAAATGGATTAGGCAGTTTCTCAAGAAAGCTTTTTATCTTAGCATTCTATTTTTATATTTTTTATGCCTATTAGAAAAAAATGTTGAAATTAATTGCTAAGTATAGTTTCAGTGAGTATGCGTACCTCACACCAAATCTCATAAAAGAGGAATACAGATTTTCAGTTGACAAAAATGTGGTAGTCTTTTTAGGGTGATGGAAATGATCTGTGTTCTAATCCAATGAAGGCTTGCATTATACACGTTGGCATATTTGCCAGAACTCATCAAATAATATACTTGAAATGCATTCCTTCACAAAGTTTACCTCAAAGCAAGAGAAACAAAATTGGGAACAGTGTTGAACTCTATATAAATAAGTGCTAGAACTGTCAAAAGATCTATAAGATCTATATAGATCTGCAAGCAGATGTGGGAATTGTGAATGACCATGAATCTTTTTATCTTTTCATGGTGTAAAAATTGCAAATTTTAATTAAGGTAGAAAATAAAAACTTACTTTTACCATGTGCTTGTGCCTATCCCTTCTCCTTTCCCCTGCCTTTTATTTTTATCACATTGTTAGTTATGTACTGTGCAGATCTACAGAATGCTGTAGATTATCTGATTTATTTAGTTACTTACTTTTATTTTAAAGAGAATAATAAAAAAAGAACAATAGCTGAATACCAACAACATACACAAAAACAAAACAAAGCAAAAATAATAAAAATGATAACAGGGTTTCAGAATAAAATGATAGAAATTAGCAGTGGTTGTTATATTACATATTGTTACCTTCAGTGAAGTTGTTCAGATTACCAGATGTAAGAATGGCAGATTGATCAAACCATTAAAGAGAATAAAAAACAAAAACAAAAAAATATTAGAAATGATACAGAGTTTCACTAGACAAGATGGTAGGAATTCACCAATGGTTGTTATATTGCATATTATTGTCTTCAAAGTTGTTGTTCAGATTATCAGATATAAGCATGCAAAATTGGTCAAAGAAAATTAAGCATTAACTCTTCCTTTCAATAAACCATTAGACATCACTAGTACAGTTATCCCAGCTATCCTTCTACATACATACATATACATTTTGTTTCCCTTCCTTCTTTCTTTCTTTTTCTCCTTTCCCTCATCCCAGTTGTTCCTTCCTTGGAGCAATTTCTTTCCCTTTCATAATATGTATTATATATTTTCCGTTTTATTTACTCTTTCAGGTTCTTACACTAGGGAGACAATATGATGTTTAAACATGGGGAGGGTCTGATTTATTTCACTTAGGAGTATGGTCTCTATTTGCATCCATTTACCTATAAAAGCCTTGAGTTTATCTTTCTTTATAGCTTAGTAATACTCCCTTGTATAAAAAGACTACATCTTTTTTATCCATTCCTCAGTTGATAGGCATTTGGGTTGTTGCCAAGATTTAGCTATGACAAATTGTGCTGCTATGAACATGGGTGTACATATGTCACTGTGGTATGATGTTTTTAATTCTTCTGGGAAAATACCCAGAAGGGGAATAGCTGGGTTAACTCCTAGTTTTGTGAGGAGTCTCCAAACTGATTTCCACAGTGGTTTCACGAATTTATCCTCCCACCAGCAGTGGAGAAGGGTTCCTTTTTCCCCACAGCTTCTCCAGCATTTGTTATTGGTTGATTTCTTAATGATAGCCATTCTTTCCTGGTATGAGATGGAGATTATCTTATTTAATAGCTAACTTTTAGAATGTAAGGCAAAAAACTCTGGTATGTCCTGTTGAGGTTATGTCTAGGTGTACCTACCAGTTTTGGAAACTGAGGAAGCAGTGATCACTTGAGAAGAACACTCAGATCCCTGATTGTAAACTTTACCTGGAGTTCTAGAGCTAGAAGCATGGACCATGTGACCTGTCAGCTGAATAGATTATCTACAAGGAGGTTTGGAGAAGGACTAATAGCGTTATATTCTCAAATCAATCATTCGCCTTTTAGACATATTAACATTTATATGGTGCTTTCAGAATGCTTTATATCCTTCGTAATTATTTCAAAATTCACTCAAAGGTATGTTGGGTGTAGTTTTCTAATTTCATGGGAGAGAAAATACAGACACAGAGAGGTAGAGCTGCATCCAGGTGAGTCAGTTTCAGAATCAGGATTAAAATTTTGCAAGCAGACCAACTGAGGGGGAGAAGTGGGCCTGGGAATTAGGAATTGTTGCATACAATAGTAACAGTAGGAATACTAACTACATTTTGGGTTTAGGCTGGCAAAACTTTGGATTGACCCGAGATTGAATCTGTTGTATTCTAGGTAAAAGAAAATCTGCTCTCATGCAAGATGTTGTTGCACTGCAAACGGGATGAACTTCGGAAACTGTGGATTGAAGGAATTGAACATAAGCACGTCCTGAACCTGCTAGATGAAATTGAGAACATCAAACAAGTACCTCAAAAACTGGAACAGTGCATGGCCAGCAAGCACTATCTCAGTGCCACTGATATGCTGGTAAGAAAACAGCCTGAGATAAGGGATGTTTCCATTAATATTAAAAAAAGATTCTTTTTGTGTTCTTTCAGTCCTGTAATGCACATTAAAAAACAGCCCTTTTGGGATTCACAAGGCCTTGCAGGTGAAGTTCTTTTCCTCATTTCATGTTTGAAGTGGCAGATGATTATTACTTATGTATTATCTGCTTTTGGAACAATAGCAAGACTTGCTGTATAATGGAAAAAAAGCAGTACTGACATCGTATTGGAATCGTCATAAGAGGTGTTTTTAAGCTTCAGAGGAAGATACTGATAATGAATCCCATTTTTGTCTTGTTTTGGTTTTTGCTTTGTTTTGTTTTGCAGGAATTGAACTCAGGGATTTGCGCATGCTGGTCAAGCACTCTATTACTGAGCTATATCATCACCTCTTTTTTCCCTAAAATTTTATTTTGAGATAGGGGCTTACTCAATTGCCTAGGCTCTCCTAAAACTTTTGATGCGACTGTCTCAGTCTCCCAAGTAGCTGGGATCACAGGCATGTGTCACCAGACCCAGCATGAATCCCATTTTAAAGAATGAAATCTACATGACACAGAATTTTTGAAGATTTATAAACTTGGTGTTCAACAAATTATTTGAAAGAACTTTAACCTTAGGCCTTTGTTTTTTTTTTTTTTTTTTTTTCCTTTCAATTAATAACAAAGAAAATAATTTTTTGAGTCTTATGCTAGACTCAACCTTGTTAAGCAAGAGTATAACCTAGCCTTTAGCCTCTATCTTAGTCCACTGAGTTTTGCTACTTCTGAGTTAGTGAAAAGTTCCTAGGAAGTTGATGGTAAGTGTGAAGCAAATGAATGAAAAATAAAATTGCACATTTTACTCCCATCATCTTTACTTTCCCAAGGCCTGTGGCTCTTAAAGAAGACTACCCATCTTCCTGCCTGTTCTATACACACACACACACACACACACACACATACACACACACATTTTCATCTCATGCAGAGTTGTTAGAGGACCACAAAAGCTCTCAGCAGCAGGATGACTGTATTTGAATTGTTTTCTTTTCCACAAAAAGTAAAAGCCCTTTGTCTTTGTTTCTCCAAAGTAGATTGGCTATAACACTGGGAAAAACACTGAGAGGAACTGGTGGGAACACAGAGTAAATGTGCTAAATATCTCTAATTCATTCCAACTTCCAAGCAGAAGTCTTTCATACGATGTTTTAAGGAAAATTGATAACCAAAGAGTGGGAACTGTCAAGTATTCTGTCATGTATTGAAACCTGGTTATGAATGGACCGAATAGTCAGTTTTCACAGTGGAAGGTTAATAATGGTCTGCTCATGGGAATTGCAGAAGGATTGTTGCCGCATCTTATTCAGAGTGACATCTTCCTTAATAATGACTGTATGTTGTTCAACAGAAAAATACTACTTTTTAGCTTTAGTGTTGCATTATACTTATTTGGGCTAAATTATGAAGATGCAGAAATCAGAATAGATCTGCATATACGTATACATTTGTGTAGGATATGTACATCTATGTGAATTACAATTTTGGGCAGTGAGCCTATTTTCAAGTAAATGCCATATATTAAATTAGATTATTAGAATTTATGTCTGTGTTATGTTCATTTTAGGATTTCAGATTTTTGGTTCATGGTTTTATTACTTAAGGCTAGTCAATAGTAAATGCTGTCTCCCTTTTAAAATTTGGTTTATTTTTCTTTAGGAAGGACTTCATTTGCATAGGAAGTTAAGTGGGGAAGAGGCTTGGGTGTTGAGAGAAGAGTATAGGCTATAATCTATATCTTTCCAGCCTTGCAGAAGGAAAAAACCTTTTTTTAAAGCAGAATATTGCTTAGCAGAAGAAGATCTTTTTTTCTAATAAAAGTCTGACCTGAAGAGAGCCAATTTCAGTACCATGATCATCTGTTCTATCTAAAATCATTGGGTTGGGTAGTGAGAAGTGGAGTGGTGAGGAAGAGTAGTTGCCTCCAGAACAAGGTGCGTGTATAAGATACATACCCAAGAAGTTTTGTTCCTTTTGGTACTTATTTGTAGTTGTTTATATATTGCACATGCTAATCCTTTATCTTTCAGATGGATTACAAATATTTAAATTGGTAGTATATCTTTACTTTGTTTATGATGTCTTCTATTATAAAAATTTTATAATTTTAATGCAGTAGAATTTCACATTCTTATGTGTTTGTATCACATGATTTTATTTTAAGAACATTTGTTTTGCCCTGGTGTTTTACAGAGAATCTCCTATATTTTCTTCTTTAATCCATCAAAAGTTCATTTTTATATGTGATATGAACTAGGGATCTAATTTTATTTTTCTGCTTTATAGCCAGTTGGCTCTCAGACGGTTTACTGAAATCTTTTTTCTATTGATTTATAATGCCAATTGTCACATACCAGGTTTTCACTTCTAGGTGAGTCTGTTCAGTGTTCTTTTCTTTTGTTGAATTGGTCCTGTCTGTACCTGTGAACTAGGTGGTTTTAATTGTTATAATTTTATAATATAACTTGATAGGAGGTAAACTCATTCCCTCATTTTGCTATTGAAAATTATCTTTGCTGTCTTTGATCTTTATTATTCTTGCAGAATTCCACAGAAAGTATAATAGGATTTTGATTGACTTTAAGAGCATTTCTATGTTAGCAGTATTGAGTCTTCTATCAGTGAGCAGGGTACGCTTCATTTATTGAAACCTTCATTTATGTCTTCTAATAATGCTTAGTAATATATTCCTTAAAAGTACTGTGTTACATATATTTTGTTAGATTTAATCTGGGCATCATATATTTTTTGAGACCTTTGAAGATAGTAACTATTAATCATAGTTTCTAGTTATTTGTTTCTGGCATATAAGTATATGATAGATTTGTCTTTTTAAATTTACCATGTAGCCCCCTGAACTGATTTCCCAATCCTCCCTGCTTGCAAAATGCTGAGGTATTCTGTAAGACTTGGCTCAAATTTCATCAACTCTCTGAATGTTTCAGAAATCTAGACACTTTTTTTTTTGGTTTACATTCTTAGAAACTGCATATATTTCATTGTGACATAATTGCTTTTGTTTGTATGCTAGGTCCTTAAGGGTGGGGTTGTTCCTTATGTACTTTTTTCTGCCCTATACCTGACATAATGCAGTTCATGTAGTCAGAATTCACAAATCACTACTCAAAAGTGGTCACTACATGAAAGATTTTAATACTGGTACACATAAAAAAACAAAAACTTGTTTCTTTTCTAGGAGTTCAGGTCTGTTTTTTTTTCTCTTATTAGTGTTTGGTTTTTTTTGGATAAGCTTCTCTTGTTTCTAAACTTCTCTTTTGTAATATTTAAATGAACAACAATAATTGTAGCATAGTTAATGTGTGAACACCTGCTTGTACCTTTTTAAGTATATGACATTGGTTAACCCAGTTAATTTTCACAAGAACTCTACAGGTTTCTGAAATCATTGCCATTTTACAGATGAGGTAGTTACTTTACATGATCTGGGGAGTTGACATATCCCAAAATAAGCAATGGTTTGTGTATCCTAATTAACAAAGATTTCAGGAAAGTGGGATTGAAAGCGTGTCTAAGAGGTTGCAAATATTCTTCAACTTGGTCTTTTGTATATGAGTCAATATAATTGCCCTTTCACTAGACTTCATATAAAAAAAATCACATTTCTTTTCCCCATGATTGCATATTATTAAGAGTAAAATCTACCTAGGGAATCTCAAAGGTGCAAAAGGAAAACTTTGCTAAATGACATCAGAGGAAAGTAAAGACAAAGCGATCTAGTCTTTCAAAACCCCCTAATTTTCTCGGATTTGTTTGTCAGAAGATTTTGCATTTTTATTATTTTAAGGCAGGTGCAGATGCAGATATGTAGTAATTTGATCTCTACTCAGTATAGGCTAATAAATCCAGAGCATATAAATCAGTGGTGACCCGTGGTTCTTGCCAGCTCCTGCTATTCCTGTTTCTCCATCACAAGTAGCTATAGGCTAGGCTTGTAGTGGGATATTTATTTTGTCTTTTGATATGATAACCCAAGTATTGCCTAAAATAATTAAATTGTCATAGCAGTGAATGTCTGCAAATAAACCTGGCCTTTTGTTTCCTTCTTCAAAGTAAACAGCTGCTGTTGGCTTATGAAAAGCTAAAAGTGATCCAACAAGAAGCCTGTATCCGTCACATTGAAATCAGAAAGTTGATTAATATTGTAGCCTGTAGTTTTGTGATATGTATGGTTTAAATTAGACCTTTGCAGTCATTGTGCTAGGTTGATGCAAGCACATTAATGACATAATTTCTGGTTACTGCATCACATTTCTGCAGTCTGTCCTTTGTATTCCACTCACATTAATTGAAGTAATTTTGCCAGTGAAGCGTGTTTCAAACCTCTGCATTTAAATTGAAATTTTAATTCCCTTATTGTCTTGAAAAGACGGCTGAAGATGCCTTGTTACAGGTTTCATTATCACTCAAAACACTCCAGCTGCTGGTTCTAATGTACAATGACTGATTAATTCTGGGAAGAATTATTAATATAAGAATAGCAGCTTCTTCTCAGTGGTATGAGCTAACATGGAAGGTATTTCATGATAGTTAATATTTTTATGAACTTTCCTTCCCAAGGAAAATTTTTGTGTAGAAGTCTGCGTCTTACTAAAATTGCACAGAGAGCTTTGAAAACCACTTACACAAGTTCTGATTTATCAGCCCATAGAAGTCAATTCATAATTGCATTCAATCACTGGAAACCAAGCCAGTGTGAGTAGTTTTGAAGCACTTTAGCTGACAGTCACAAGACTTGTGACTAAAATAGTTTTTTCATTTCTAAGCCTTCCTGAGATTATAGAGACTTTGAATGTCTCTTAATCATTTTGCCTTTGTTTATGTCTCTACAAAAAGAATCCATAGCTGTACAGTTAGGTAAGAATTATTATGATAATTATAATAATAACTTATGTAACTATCTTCTTCCCAGAGGATCTCAAAA